AGGCTCTAGGTTCTCTCGTACACTATCATGCGCGCGCAAAAGAAATCAACCAGGTAAAAGTTGATTATGACGTCACTAAATTAACCTACAAAAATCACCGACTAATATTTTTGGCGGTTGGGTTGTTCTATTTGCATGTTTAAAATATTTCAAAATGCCTTCGTATCGCGAGTTAAAAGACAAAATCAGAGTTTTAGAAGAGAAAAACAAGACTTCTCGTAAGGAATGTGGAGTACATAGCACCAACCGGATTCACCTGGAGAGGAAACTCATGGAGTGGCAGAGTTATGCTGAATACAAGAACGAGATGTTAGTGGCTACAACACAAGAGAGAGAAGAGTTTAAAAAACTGTATGAAAAGAAAAAAGCTGAAAATAATATTCTGGAGTTTCATTTGAAACGCCTTCAAAGGCACTATCTTTTGTTGGAAAATGGCTTTACATCATGGTTTCGCGTTGGCCAGCAAATGTATAATGAATATCTATTATATAAGGAAGCCTATTTTGGTCTGCTGGAAAGGTATACTTGGGAGACTGCAAGTAACACCGTGGACAATGACAATATTACATCCACCCTGGCTGTCCCTCTTTGGACTATGCAGCCTGTAGCTCCTCTCCACAGTCTACAAAACAGTTATCTCCAGTACACAAACGCACTGACTTCTCCATCGCCGGCAGCTGTTCCTGTTTCAATAATTGGGATCCCGCTGCAACCAGCCGTGGATTATTGTTCCTTTATGCCCCAGCCGATCAACTTTGGTGGCGCAGAACGGATTTTGATTTTTGGTAATAACCAATCAGAAAGTCCCTCGATCCGTATTGTAAACCAAAGCATGGCGCTTCTATGGAGCCCACAAATGCTGATCAACCGAAGAAACCCACTTCAGATCCTACCAAGAAGAGAAATTGCCTGTGAACAGGCCAACAAGGAAGAGAACGTAAGAGAAAACAACGAGCACTACTGCGAGAAGGAAGAGAGAGTAACAGAAAACAACGAGCACTGCGAAAGATTATCAGTGCAGGATGAAGACAGTACATCGCCCGCTATGCTTGAGGGGGAAAGCTCCAAATTAAAGGTAAGCAGGCCAAGATTCTGTAGCACAGTGGGAAAGGATCCGCAGGGAAGTATGGGGGAAGGACTGGGGGAAGTCTTACTAATAAGTAAAGGCACAGTGCCTGTGCTATAAGCCATGAGACTTTAATAAAGTTCATTATTAGTATTAAGGACCTGTAGTACCACTTCCTTTTATCCATATTACTGATCCATGTTTCTCTTTCTTTCTTACTCATTTGTAAATCAAAACGATGAATCCGTTCATATACTCCCGTAGTTCTCTAGAAAACGATACCCGATTCCAGGCCAAAAAGGTCCAAATAACTGATCACGCTGCACCAATATNTACGCAGGCTAATTGATATATTACTTAAGCTTTACATGGTTCGCTGGACGTCTGCAGTTTTCATCTCCTGGGAACAAATTCACCGCTTCCAATAAAGGTGCTTTTAGGAGTTGTTCAAGTTCGCGCACACTCATTTGTGTCTGGTACAGCTTGTTTCCATCCTTCTGGTTGTTGCTCATTACCGCGAAGGACTGGGCTTTTTTCGCCGGCCAAAACCTTCCAAACACCCTCCCAGGCTCCGTCCACACACAGCAGCCCGCTGTCCAAACAGAACGAGGGGTTTCAAGTCTCACTGTACCTCCGAGAAATTTATCCTTGACATAGGGCATTGGTACGGTGTATGAAGTATCCTGAACAACTTTGTAAGGTTTTTGAGGATCGGGTATAATGCCGTTCTCAGATCGTCCTGTCAGGAGATACAAGGTTCCTCCTCTCGGACCACAAATGTCTTTCGCATAATCTCGTATTTTTGTCTCAAAATCCTGCCAGGGGCCACTGTTTGATGCTTCAAACTGAGGTACTGCATTGGTAAGGGTGAATGTTGCTTTCATGAATTTGAAATCAAACGAGTTTATTCCCGCGGGATTCATATGACCTCTGCTTAGTGGTTCCCTATCAGTTGTGATTGCCTCAGTGTAAGCGGCGTCGACTCGGACAGCAGGGTCACCAGGATTAGCTATGAACAATGATAGGTTAATATATCACCTTTTTCAATTTTATTTTACCTCATTACATGAAATCGTGGCGACATGTTTATTTAGCGATTTTGGAAAACCCTTATTTAGCAGCACGTTAATTTAGCGATTTGTTGTAAATTTTGGAACATAAGTCACTTTATTTTCGCGATTTCACGAACTGAAACTTTGGCGAATTGACTTATTCAAAACCTTAACGACGACAATAGAACATTTATGTGACAAAATAATAAAACGTCAATGGCTTCATTTTGAATCAAAATCATACAACGTTTTGTTACTTTAATTTGAACGAAACAAACGAAACTGCAACTAGCTGTAATGTCAAATCTTAATACTGTCCTCACTTATATTTAAGATACTTTGTCACACAAAGTCAGTGATACACGTCAAAATCGACCATCAAATAGCATATGTGTTTGAAACTGACCAAATAGCGGATAGAGACGATTTAAATAGGCCATTTCCGACTAGGAGTTCCCCCGAGCCCCTGTATCAAAACGAGGTTAAGTGCCCTTACTACTTTTCTTATGGAAATGATTTTTCATTCTCATGCAAATAAAACTCATTTCTCATTTTCACAAGAACACTTGTGCACTTGGTCTCATTTTGAAAGTGAGGGTTTTTGGAACTTGGAAGTGCTCTATTAGCAACACATAGTTTTGGTGCATTTTAATTTGGCGATTTTTAGAAAAATCGCTAAATTCGCTAACTAGCCAAAATTTCATGTAATTAGCTAAATGACGGATTTAGTAAGCCTACAAGCGAAGCTTACGTTAATAAACTCATTAACAGTTAATGAATGAGGCTGAGTATCTTATGAAGAATTATGGAGATCGAGGAGGGTGTTATCCGTCGAGGCCGTAGGCCGAGGCGGATAACACCCTCCGGGATCTCCATAATTCTTCATATGATACGAAAGCCGAATTCAATAACTGTTTTATTATTCATTCAAAATAATTCCTAGTTTAAAAACATAGCTAAAACATGCTAACCTCCATCGATCCATCGATGTTCAGTTGATCTTCGATAATGTACGTTTAGGTTTGTCCATTATTTTAAACTTTGTTTTAGGGTTCATCGATTTATGTTGAATAAAACAAAAAAGTTCAAGGTCTCATGCAGTTTGCTTTTCTTTGAAATGACAGCTGAAATGAGCGAGATAATTACCTGGGAAACGTTTCTTGTACGACGTTACCTGTAAAGAGGAGTTGTTTCAGTTATAGCGAGCTACTTAAGCAACGACGACGGGAACGAAAACGGCAAAAAAGCAATAATAACAACAATGCACGTGTATCGCCTTTTATTGTACATTTCTTTGCCGTCGTTACACGACTCGCTACGACGTGAAACTTCCCAATTTTACGTTTTATGTATTACGTGAACTCAAGAAAACGATTTTTCATTTTTTTTTGTCTAACTATCAGACTTTTAGAATTTAATTCGTCAACATTTGAAAAATTGAACGAGATGGAATAAGAGTGATTAAGTTTGAAACAACCCGAGTACCCTTTTTAAGTGACATTTTCGCTGTAGTCATCGTCATGACTGTTTAAGCTCTTTTTTAACGGAGCCACTGCGCCTGCGTTCTATGGGTAAGAAAATGTGGCTTTCAAAACATATTTTGTAGTGACGTTAACGAACGTTCCACCCGCCATGTAAGGCTGTGTGAAATGTTACATGCATTTTCTCTGCAAAATTCAGTCGTTTCACACTTTAGCGGAGCCACTGCGCGCTACCCAATGGGTAAGAAAAAATGCTTTTAAAAACCGTTTTTGTAGCGACGTTCACTGCGCGAATACTTGACCAACTCTGCTCGCAACCACGCATGTAAACCAGTGTGAAATATCATGCAGTATTCAATTGCATGCCGACCGTTTGGCGGAAAATCGCATGTCCAACTGCCCCTGCCCTAAATCCGCGACTGACATGGATGAAACAAGTGGAAATATTGTATTTTCTTTTACCATAGGGAAATGTAGTTCCCACAAATCAAACTTGAATTCAATATTAATGTTACGACTTAATGACTTCTAGGAATAAAGGGAGCAGAAACCAAGCGGAGTGAATCGCAGGAGTATATATTTTAAAGGGACAACTACATTTTGCTGACTTTATGCGTTTTTACATCAAGCCTTTGTCTTCTGGAGTAGTCAATCTTGTTTTCTCTCTTCAAACTGGTTTTTCGATTGCGAGCATCCGTTTATTGATGAACCAATGACCATAAACGAGCCCGCTGTAGCAAACGCACGGCTATTAGGCCTGGTCCCTAAACTATATCATACTCCATCTAAGATCTTACTCATTCATGCAAGGGTTTTCTCAAGTACACCAAAAGAGAGTAAGTGAAAGAAATGCTCTGCCGTGGCAGGATGGTCATAGATACTGATGAAGTACCCGGATTTTTCCTTTTACTAAAAAATCATATCTTCATCGCGCGCAGTGAAGATACTATTTTTATCTTTCACGTGTGAGGATATTAGTGTCGCCATGGTTACTAACATTAATTTTGACTTTTTGGAACAGGAAATATAGGTATTATTGTCTTTATTTCTTCTTTATAACTTTATATCCGAGTTTCATAACATTTTTGTGACAGGCATTTTGCGATAGTTGACCACTTTAATTGCACTATTTTGAGAGACACTTTCAGCACTCGAAGATAAAATTCATCTCCCCGCGCGGCCATGTAATATCCCCTACGTCTACCTTGCTACAAACATAATAGCAAGAAGAAGCGGGAGCAACAATCAAAAATATTCCAATAAAAACCAGCGTAGCGTAAACGGTTTAAACTTTTGATGATGCTGCCTTGAAATCAGTGACAATTTCTTGATCAGTTTATTTTTAGATCATTTGCACGCTCACCAAACAAATCCCGCTAGCTACGCAGGCTAATTGATATATTACTTAAGCTTTACATGGTTCGCTGGACGTCTGCAGTTTTCATCTCCTGGGAACAAATTCACCGCTTCCAATAAAGGTGCTTTTAGGAGTTGTTCAAGTTCGCGCACACTCATTTGTGTCTGGTACAGCTTGTTTCCATCCTTCTGGTTGTTGCTCATTACCGCGAAGGACTGGGCTTTTTTCGCCGGCCAAAACCTTCCAAACACCCTCCCAGGCTCCGTCCACACACAGCAGCCCGCTGTCCAAACAGAACGAGGGGTTTCAAGTCTCACTGTACCTCCGAGAAATTTATCCTTGACATAGGGCATTGGTACGGTGTATGAAGTATCCTGAACAACTTTGTAAGGTTTTTGAGGATCGGGTATAATGCCGTTCTCAGATCGTCCTGTCAGGAGATACAAGGTTCCTCCTCTCGGACCACAAATGTCTTTCGCATAATCTCGTATTTTTGTCTCAAAATCCTGCCAGGGGCCACTGTTTGATGCTTCAAACTGAGGTACTGCATTGGTAAGGGTGAATGTTGCTTTCATGAATTTGAAATCAAACGAGTTTATTCCCGCGGGATTCATATGACCTCTGCTTAGTGGTTCCCTATCAGTTGTGATTGCCTCAGTGTAAGCGGCGTCGACTCGGACAGCAGGGTCACCAGGATTAGCTATGAACAATGATAGGTTAATATATCACCTTTTTCAATTTTATTTTACCTCATTACATGAAATCGTGGCGACATGTTTATTTAGCGATTTTGGAAAACCCTTATTTAGCAGCACGTTAATTTAGCGATTTGTTGTAAATTTTGGAACATAAGTCACTTTATTTTCGCGATTTCACGAACTGAAACTTTGGCGAATTGACTTATTCAAAACCTTAACGACGACAATAGAACATTTATGTGACAAAATAATAAAACGTCAATGGCTTCATTTTGAATCAAAATCATACAACGTTTTGTTACTTTAATTTGAACGAAACAAACGAAACTGCAACTAGCTGTAATGTCAAATCTTAATACTGTCCTCACTTATATTTAAGATACTTTGTCACACAAAGTCAGTGATACACGTCAAAATCGACCATCAAATAGCATATGTGTTTGAAACTGACCAAATAGCGGATAGAGACGATTTAAATAGGCCATTTCCGACTAGGAGTTCCCCCGAGCCCCTGTATCAAAACGAGGTTAAGTGCCCTTACTACTTTTCTTATGGAAATGATTTTTCATTCTCATGCAAATAAAACTCATTTCTCATTTTCACAAGAACACTTGTGCACTTGGTCTCATTTTGAAAGTGAGGGTTTTTGGAACTTGGAAGTGCTCTATTAGCAACACATAGTTTTGGTGCATTTTAATTTGGCGATTTTTAGAAAAATCGCTAAATTCGCTAACTAGCCAAAATTTCATGTAATTAGCTAAATGACGGATTTAGTAAGCCTACAAGCGAAGCTTACGTTAATAAACTCATTAACAGTTAATGAATGAGGCTGAGTATCTTATGAAGAATTATGGAGATCGAGGAGGGTGTTATCCGTCGAGGCCGTAGGCCGAGGCGGATAACACCCTCCGGGATCTCCATAATTCTTCATATGATACGAAAGCCGAATTCAATAACTGTTTTATTATTCATTCAAAATAATTCCTAGTTTAAAAACATAGCTAAAACATGCTAACCTCCATCGATCCATCGATGTTCAGTTGATCTTCGATAATGTACGTTTAGGTTTGTCCAGCTCCGCAAATATTCTCCAAATAGCAGATGTCGCCCTTCGAGTTGTCTTCTTGCTGTTCTTGCCATGTTTTTAGCTATTTTTTCGCCTAGTTCTTACTCTTGAAACGAGTGAAATGTCCGCCATTTTTTCAAGTTCACAACCAAAACAATTTAATCTCGTCCCCAGGTCTTCTCGGTTAACATTGCCTTAACCTGCGAAAACGCTGCATTTTTGACGTCATTTCCTCGTTAAAGTCAAAATTCTTCCAAATTTGGTCATCAGTAACTGGTTATGGTGAATTAAACGTGTGCTTTTAGCCAATCAGAATCGGGGAAATATTTTGAATGAATAATAAATAAAATTAAGTACAGTGGAACCTCGATATAACGAAGGGCCAAGTGACTGGCAAAATATGTTCGTTATAACGTGGTTCTTTTTCATATTGCCTTATATTTTACTATTGCTGGAGTCAAAAAAAAAAATAGTTCGTTAGACCGAAGACTTCGTTATAGAGGTTCCACTGTAATTTACATTTTTATATAAATTGTATCTTTAATTTGTTAGAATAAGAATCGTTAAGCATATAAATTCATCATTGGTCCGTTTCGATCCCATCAGTCTGATGCGTAACAAGCCTCAAAACGCCTATCTTTACAAAACTGCACCTAATTAGTCCTAGACTTCTGTTTTTTCAAACGGCATGGTTATGTAGCATTTGTAACGAGGCGGAATAGAGTCTTTTTAATTAATGAAGGTTCTCGATTAAATCCGAGGCTACTCTACGAACACGGTTTCTTAAAACGAATTATATCGGCTGATGATGTGGTCTCTGACGCATTTGGATAACATACTAGACAAAACTAGGGGTTACAGGAACCTACAGTGTAATATCATGATCTGCAAACTTCTACTGGTGGATTCTGCATAGGCAATCAGGCTCGAAGCAGAAGAAATGTACTTTACAGCGGCTTGAAATTTATAAACATGACTCCTGTAGAAGGCCTAAATGTAATAAACGACCCTAATGTAATAAAGTCCTAAATGTAATAACATTTTGTCCATAATAATAACATTTTGTAATCCATAATAATAACATTTTGTAATAAACTCTTAAGTTGCAAATTACCGTAATTACTCAAATAAGCGCCGCATTTGGGAGGATTTAACAAGCGCCACGGCGGTTATTCGCGTAAATACGGTACTAAGAGGTATTACTATGGTTTTAAGCGCCGCATTTTTGGATAAAAAATTTAATAAGCTTCGGTATATTTCCTTATGCAATGTGTAACTTGACGTTTACAAAATCTTGTTGCTTGTCAACGTTGGATCTCTAGAAAAGAGATCTAATCAGCTAAAATATTAAGAACAAAAAACGAGAAGTCTAAGGGCCTGTTAACATGGAGGTGGGGGACCCCAGGCAGGTGAGGCAACCCGCTTTGGTGGGTAACCCGCCTGTCCACATAATCTTTCATTTTAATTTGATCACGTTTACATGATAGGTGGGGTGACCCGCCGCATGTTACGTCACGTATCTGGGGTCCCCCACCTCCATGTAAACAGGCCCTAAAGACTACTGCACGTCTGATAACAACGTTTATAAATAACTGAAGATAATACGCGCGCGCTCTGATTAGCCGAGGGATGTGTTTGTATGAGAGTATGTAAACATGTGTGGAGTCAAGATGTTTTGCTCTTTGCGCGCTAATCACACAAGCACGAATTTTAAAACGTTTTTGAGTTTCCAATTCTCCCAATCCCTCTAGTGTTTATATCAGGCTATGCAAACACAGGAAAAAAGTTCTCTATTGCTTACATATTGCTTTTTTCAAAAAAATACTGTTATTTTGCCGTTTACAAACAATTTATTTGTAAACGTTAAGTTTCACAGTGCATAAGGAAATGTACCGAATTTACGCGAATTAGCGCCGCGGCGCTTATTTGAGAGCGGAGCTTAATACCATAGTAATACCGCTTAGTACCCTATTTACACGAATAAGCGCCACGGCGCTAATTAACTCCCCACCCAATGCGGCGCTTATTCGAGTAATTACTGTAATTGGCAACTTAAGGTGACCCGTTCCTATTTATATGCGTTTTGGTTATGTTTTTGATTCGCGTTTTTCAGAATGAAAGGTTCAACCGATTTCTACGATTTTTTGCATCCTTAATAAATATTGATGGAACTTTAAGAAAATGTTATTTATTTTCTTATAGGTATAAAAACTTTTGAGATATCGGCATATATTTAAAACCTCAGTTTTACGAAAAATGAAAATAACTTCGAAATTCCAAGACAGATTTTTCCCTAACTTCAGCGAATAAGCCTCAGAGCTCTCTAGTTTTATGCATGCAAGTTTGAAGGCAATCGTGACCGTAGAAATCGCTCCACAAAATGTTGGTCAAATTTAATGCTAAAACGATCGGCTAACACATTTGTGAGCGTAAACGCACAAATAGCGGAAGAGAGCTGACAAACTACCTCTTAACTAAAACGTTGTTCTTACCCAAAGCACTGTTGGAGGAAAATGAGTAATCGGACAACTACGGTGAATACAGTTAGCGCTTTAATACAACCAGCTTTCTGCTACATGCGCGTTAAAATTAAACACATTGTATTTATCCAACTTACTCTGCATTTTTCCGTTCATTTTCGACAAAGATATTAAGAAAACAAAACACAGCATCTGCAGAAACCGTTTGGCAGTTTTTAGCTTCAAAGGTTCTCGTTCTGAGGCGAAATAAGCCCGCTAGTTCAAGAACACCTCGCTATCCGATTTTCACCTGCAATGAAAACCCTCTCGCACGATAATATATTCATGCTCACGAACAGTATGCCACTTGGGGATAATAGTTAATATAATCATCGGAAAAGGCCTATAAGGCCCCTAACAAAACAAGGGCAAATTATGCCATAAATTCGATAGTAAATGGTTTCCATATGTAAATAATAACTATTATTCCCAAGTGGCATACTGCTGGTGAGCATGTGATAGGAAAGTCAGAGATCTTGAATATATTATCGCGCGAGAGGGTTTTCATAGCAGTTGAAAATTGGATGGCGAGGTGTTCTCGAACTAGCAGGCTTATTTCGCCTCAGAACGAGAACCTTTGAAGCTAAAAACTGCCAAACGGTTTCTGCAGATGCTGTGTTTTGTTTTCTCAATATTTTTGTCGAAAATGAACAGAAAAATGCAGAGTAAGTTGGATAAATAGAATATATTTAATTTCAACGTGCATGTAGCAAAACGTCGGTTGTATTAAAGCGCTAACTGTGTTCGCCGTAGTTGTCCGATTACTCATTTTCCTCCAACAGTGCTTTGGGTAAGAACAACGTTTTAGTTAAGAGGTAGTTTGTCAGCTCTCTTCCGCTATTTGTGCGTTTACGCTCACAAATGTGTTAGCCGATCGTTTTAGCATTAAATTTGACCAACATTTTGTGGAGCGATTTCTACGGTCACGATTGCCTTCAAACTTGCAGACATAAAACTAGAGAGCTCTGAGGCTTATTTGCTGAAGTTAGGGAAAAATCTGTCTTGGAATTTCGAAGTTATTTTCATTTTTCGTAAAACTGAGGTTTTAAATATATGCCGATATCTCAAAAGTTTTTATACCTATAAGAAAATAAATAACATTTTCTTACAGTTCCATCTTTATTTATTAAGGATGCAAAAAATCGTAGAAATCGGTTGAACCTTTCATTCTGAAAAACGCGAATCAAAAACATAACCAAAACGCATATAAATAGGAACGGGCCACCTTAAGAGTTTATTACATTTTGGACAAAATGTTATTACATTTAGAACTTTACTACATTTAGGGTCGTTTATTACATTTAGGCCTTCTACAACTCCGCTCAACAATGAGCCAAGAAAGGTTCAGTAATCTGACAGTTCTAAACAACCAAGAGAGAACAGCCAAATTTGCACCCCACCCCCGACTTCAAAAGAGGTGGTCACCGGCCGCCGCACTTTAAAAACTGCTCCGCGGGCCCTGACAACTCTTCGACAAAATCTTACTACATAAACTGTTAGATTTGTAAACTTAGACAAAGGTTCTAATTAATAAAACTAAAACTTTTACCAAAACCCGAATTCATTTCTACCATGGTTATGAATCAATCTGTCGGTTGATTAAAAGTAGAACTTGATTTTGTTTTATTTTGTTTTGGTGAGAATTATCGATCCTCCAGAATTTTTACTTCTATGAAGTATTAGAGCAGTCAAAAATTTATATTTTCACCAATTTTCACTCCGAAGAAGGGTGAATATCTAACCTTTTGGGTGACACGGCATTTGCGTGGCTGCCGAGAGAGATTTTATGTAAGTTAAAAAGTCACTTTTGGGGAATTTTGCTGACTGAACAGTCCTGGTATTAAAAAGAATACTACTTATTAATGTTTGTGAGTTCCTTGAGGGATGAATTCACGCTTTCGTAGCAAAACTCGGTATTATATGTTGCTATCGGATTCCTGACGCCATGTTAGTGCACTTTAGAGGGACGCCAACATGGTTTTTCTATAAAAATGCTCTATAAGTTTGGGTAAATCATTCCCCCGAATACATATATCTCACCAAGAGAGATCTCGCATATGAAAATTTGCACCGGCTTGAAAGTCTTGGCAAGGGTCTTTGCATGTTCATAGCCCTTTATTTCCCAGATTATTGATTCTGGATTGCGTGATAGTGAAAACCAGCAATTAAAGGTGTTACACTTCTACACTGTAGCCTACCTAACGGGCACTTTGTGTCGTACTTTAATTAACCAGGGTATTTTCCCTCAGCGGACCTCGTTTTCAGGTTGTGATTCTGAGCATGAGGGGACCGCATTCCCTTTTTCTTCTGTGTAATTTTGCATTATTTTGAAAAATTTTCTTGTAAAATAAATAATTTCTATAAAGCTGGAAAGTTTTCCCTCCCCATTCCTGAATTTTTTCAATCCGCCCCCGATAGTATTATATAAGCTTTCAGTGTTCCTGTTCTAAAAACAATAATGCAAAGGCATTAATTCTTCCCTATTCAATCTTCAAAGAACTGTTATTTATTAAATATTTACATACCTATAGGGTTTCTCCAATTTACGTTTCTTACAGCGTTCCTATTATTCGCCCCAATTCCCATTGCTTGACTGGGAGTAACTTTGTACGCAGAATAAAAGGGAGTATTCGTGCTTGGGTCAAACAGAGAAAAGAAATAAGGTGGATCGGCAGGACCTTCATTAGGTAGCTTCTGCTGAATTTCTCTGCCTCGCAAAATACCAGGAAGCCCCTCTGGACGCCTGTTTCCTGCGAAAAATGACGGTGAAAGAGCTCTTTTCCATGGCAAGGAAAGCCTTGATCTTTTCCATTCAGTATTCGATTCTTCTGAAATCAATCGCACACAAAAACCGCTCAGAGATGGGGTATTATGAAGAAAACCAGTTTATTCTAATTCATTTAATAAACTGAAAATAAAATCAATTAAATAAGTTATAAAAATCTTTTTTCCACATATACCATCAACTTAACGATTCATGTGCATAGAACTGAGCTTGTTGATAAACTCTGTTGTATGTCTTGATAGAGCATCGCACCAGTATCGAAAAGGTCACGGACTTGAATCATCATCATCATCATTAATTCCTTTAAAGTCTGATTTTTCTTTAGAATGTTACTTATATTATATATTATAATTCTTATCCCAGGCCCGTAACCAGGGGGGGGGGGGGGTGCATGGGGGGCGTTCGCCCCCCCCCCTTCCCCCACAGCCCCCAAAGGCCCGCATTTTGAATGTCAATATCCAAGTTCAGGAGTGCAGTCGGTTAAACTGAAGTTTCAAACTTAACAGTGATATTTAAACAAAATCAAAGAATGGAAAAAGCACTAGTGTATTCACTAGGAAATTAAAACCAGCTGCACTCTAGTAACCCGAGCCATTCAGAACATTTCAATGAGCGCACAGATGTCTGAGCTTATCTAAATGAATAATGAAACAAGACGCCTAAAGTTGTTTCCGTGGGATGCGTTGGTCTATGGAAGCATAATGGCGTTCTATCTGAATTTGGAAAAATGAGGGAAACCGGAAAGATGTGTCATGTTATGAGCATCGATGAGTAGGTGACCTGTATGGCTTGGTTTAATGTGCTTATGACTGAATTTATAGTAGCATGCGTGGCAGGCTACTATTTCTCCCTAACCCACATCCCTTTTTGCTTCTTACCTATCCCCTACCCCTTTCGACACCTGCTGCGCAAGCTAAATTTATAGTTGTCAGTGGTCGCAAGGATGGAGTTGATCTTGTTTTGATCTATCGCTATGTAGTTATTTTCGTAGCACGATTCGGGTAAGAAAAAGAAGTTATTTTGCATCAAAACAAGGTCTACCCGTGTAACTTAAATTGCAATGTTAACGGAAACAAGTAATGGAGAACATGCGCAATATGCTCTCTGATTAACCTGAACAGGAGCTATATGTATAAAGATACGTCATATCTTGGTAGTAAGCTGCCACAGGTAACTTTTTCAAAGAGAAATAAACACTGTAGTTTTAGGTTAATGGAACAAAACAAAACAAAACATCTGCTTGCTTTATCCAGGGTCGAACCCAGGGTTACAAAGTTCGATAAAGTTCCAATGTTTTAATCCAAGAGGAAAGTTTAATATTCCAAGATGCTCTTGATATGGTTAAAAATTAATTTCAATGTGTTTCCACGGTCTCAACGTTAACATAGTTCCAATGATTATCCCTGATTCCAAGGTATAAAAAGTTACTAAGGTCCTGATCCGTGTCCCATCCAGAAGTCCAATCCATGTCGAAAGCGAGTCGTCGATCGACGAGGACAATATTGGCGATTTCACCGCCAATCGTCAAGGGTACGAGTTGAAATTTACGCGATTTAACCTCCCGCCGTCAAGGTGTTTTCGATAAGAAAAGAAAAAAACTGAACTCTAGCTATGCTCGGCAAAAACTGGAGAACTTCGACTAGGAAAATCTATCGGAAATCACGTCGCCGCAACCAGACGCTACTAAAACCTTATGAAAAAGCTAGACCTAAACAAAAAAAAAATCATGAAGGGAAGAAATAATTTGGCTTAGGTCGCCTTTCGTGACTTGCCAGTATCCCGAAGGATTTCGCTGCTTAACAAGCCATCCTAAACCACGAGTGGGAAAACTCAAGGGCGACAAATTTGGCAAGGAAGGTTCTGATTTCAACGTTCTTCAGAGGAAGCAAATCGATTAAAAATCGATACAGATTTTGTACAATCTGATTGGCCGGCTTTGAAGAAGAGATAATCGATAAAGATTTTAGGCAATCCTATTGGCTGCCTTTGCAATTTGTTCTTACAATGAAACGTTCTGAAACGTTCTTCAGAGGAAGCAAATCGATCAAGAATCGATAAAAGTTTTGTACAATCCCATTGGTCGACTTGAAGGAAGAAATAATCGATAAAGATTTTACGCAATCCTGTTGGCTGGCTTTGCAATTTTGGGTACAACCGAACCGGATTTTTACCGTGGGAGTGCCACAGGCATCCCACGGAATTAACGTGCGCACGCTTTGCACGGGAGTTTACTACGAGCGAGAGCGATCTCACGATTTTTGTCAGACACGTCCGCTTAGTATTCTCTATTTTAGTACGAGCGCATGGACGCCCGAAGATGATCTCTTTCCAAATATATATGCGCTCCTCAAGATATGCGCCACAACCCCTGCAACGAGCTGTGAATGTGAAAGAAGTGCGAGTTCTTTAAGGCGGCTGCATACATATAACAGGGCATGCATTGCCAGGAAAGTCTGTCGTCCCTCGCACTAATAATGCAAATACATTATCAAGTTAAAATTGTTTTGGATGTTGTAAATCTGTTTGCCACAAAACACCCACGGAGGCTGGCGCTCGGGACTATTCTGAGGGATTAGTTCCGCAGTATTTTGATGTATCATTTTACATCGTAAAATTACTCGATCCATTATAACTTAATTCAAACAATTGTATTCGACAAATGTAATATTCAGTTCCTATGAGGGTATAATTATGACAAAATTCGATAACCTAAAAGTGAAAAGGGACAAGTCAAATATGAAATATACCAAGTCAAAGTTGGTAAAAAAAAAAAGACCACGGTAAAAGGAAGAAATACTAAAAAAGCCACCATCATATCACGCAGAAAAAGGCATCACGATAAAAGGCATCACGCTGAAAGGCAACACGCTGAAAGGCAACACGCAGAGAGGCATAACGCAAAGAGGCAACACGCAAAAGGCATCACGCAAAGAGGCAACACGCCAAAAGGCATAACGCAAAAAGGCAGTACGCAAAGAGGCATAAACACAACACGCAAAAAGGCATCTCAAAAAAGGCAATTTGCAAAAAAGGGCAATTTGCGAAAAGGGCATCACGTGATAAGTTTCCTTATATGGTGCGATCATCCTCAGATTGACGGCAATTTTCCACTGCTGTTACCGCTGCACGAAGAACCGCTAAAACCTGTCCGCCATCTTGATAAAGATGTGCCGATCTCAAAAGTAAATCAATTAAGTTTTCCAGCCGGAAAGAAATGCAATCACTGTCAATTCCGTTTTGGACTTGTTGTAATATACGCCTAACAGATGGAATGTCTCGTTCGAATATACCATTTCGGTTTGCTTGCACTATGTACTAAAAAACTGTTTAAGATCCAGGCCTGGATCCTAAGTAAACTTCTCAAGTGATGCCCTTTATGCAAATTGCCTTTTTTGCGATGCCCTTTTGCGTGTTGCCTTTTTGCATTATGCTTCTTTGCGTACTGCCTTTTTGCGTGTTGCCTCTTTGCCTCTTTCGTGATACCTGTATGATAGTGGCTTTTTTGGTATTTCTTCCTTTTGCCATGGTCTTTTTTTACCAACTTTGACTTGGCAAATTTCAGATTTGACTTAACCCTTTTCACTTTTAGGTTATTGAATTTTGTCACAGATATACCCTCATAAGTTCCTACCGTGTACTTTGCCGTTACAATTTCACATGTATTGCTACTTTCCTAAATAAACGGATCAGACAATAAAAAATACATTTCGGTAGTTTGGTCCACTTTGACCTCGTTAGCACCTCCCCCACATTAAATCCTGGTTACGGGCCTGTATCCACTCTTCTTGTTACAAAATTATTTTTGGGGGGGGGATGGGGGTGGAGGCCGGGGCGGGGTGTGGTTGGTGCGTTTTAATTAACACAATGGCAAAAATTAAGCCCAAGAGATAACAGACCCCAGTTGTTCAAACATAACGTACAGTGTTATTCGATCTTCACTTCGGTCAAACCCGAGAAATTTGAAAAGGCTAAGCAAAGTATAAACTTCAAAGCTAAGTTTGCTACTTTCACTGTTGAAAGTTAAAGGGATTTAAACTTCTAAGTGTTCGATAACCGAATCTGCTGTTATTTTCGGCGCCATTTTCCAGCATGAATTTCTTTTGGCGGGAAGAATTTTCAACGAGAAAAAGCTCAAAACATTTGAAGAAAACTAAAAGGTAGTTGCGTTGACGAACTGATTCATGTAACTTTGCCAATTTTTACGCTTACTGGCAAATAGAATCGTATTAAAAAACCAAAATCGCCTTCGATGTTTGACCACGGTGGAGTGCTGTTCACTGGTTAAGATGTATGTAACCACTTTCCCTGATATTTATCCACTGAATTGTGATCTATCCGGTGGATAGTGCTATCTAACGTTTGACCTCCGGGGCTAGGTCTTGAATAAAGAAAGAAGTTAGTTCCATCTAGGCATAAATAAAAAATTATTAGACCTTTTTATTAATATTTTTCTTATCAACATCGAAAGAAAATGAGAAATAGTTCTACCTTGAGGAAAGTAAAAAAGACTAAACATTTCGTGTTATATTTGGCTTTTAACATGTACCAATTTGTTCTAAGATTGTTCCATAAATTTAACCTTACATTTTAAAGCGGTATGTAAATTTCTTGAAGTAGCCAGCACTTACCAAGACCAGAGATATGTTTCGAAAATACAGTCGTAGCTACCACTAAGGTAGAAAGAACGAAATACCAAAGGATTGTCGACTTCATAACCATGCTAGATTTCGCTGCGATAGAGCAAGTTTAAAATGAATAAACCTAACAAAATGAATAAATTCTAAGTAAACCGTCGAGTAGTCTTACGTCATTGCTTTGAGATTAGCTTTTAAAAGGTCAAGTTATTCGGCCAAGGGAGTAACAGCTTAAGTTTCGATCTATAAAGAGTTCGATCAAATGAGATGAAGAATATAATGGTATTTCCTACCATGAATGAAAAAGAAATCATTTTTCCCCCTGATCTTCTGCGATAAATCTAGCAACGAACAAACTAAGACGATAATACGTAAACGGATTATCAAAACAGGAGATATAATTAGGTTAA